GTTACAGAGAGCTACCTTCCAACGTGCCAATCTGGCACCCGTGGGTGATCAGGCCACACTTCCACCCAAAACTGGGTGGGCTACTTTCCAGGGTTCAAGCTTACCAAATTGCTCGGCAACACAGACAGACATCCACGCACACAGACACACATCCGATTGCTCTCCTTCTAATTCAAAACCATAAGCAAAAGCTTCCAAGGCTACAGAGAACTACCTTCCAACATGCCGATCTGGCACCAGTGGGTGATCAGGCCGTGCTTCCACCCAAAACAGGGTGGGTTACTTTCCCGGGTTCAATCTTACCAAATTCAGTGAGCCGGACTTCCCCAAATGCTCACTCCTTCTCGGTGTTCAGCCACTGGGTGGATCCACACTGCAGGGCCTCCCTGCTCTGCTCTGGTGAGGCTTTTCCACCAGACAAACACCTGCCCAGGAGCACTCTCAGGATGTGTCATCCCAGCGAGCAGGAGTCCCCCTGCAGGGATGCTCCACAGGGCTAGGCAAACCACCTAAGATACTTTTTCCCACCTTCTGTTATTCAAGATTCGCTTCCCGGCCAATGCACCAAAATGTAGCAGGAGCGGCTGTGGGAAACGGATCTCTCAGACACCAAACATAGGAGGAAGGAGTTTATTTGGCCGGGAGCAAGGTGGCATAGTTGCCTAACAGCCAAGCTCCCCAAACAAAGGAAGGTTCCTTCTTTATATAGGCTTATACTTTAGATGTTACACATGGAAGAATCTTAGGTTTATAGTTTAACATATGAAAAGGGTCTCAGTTTACAGTCTTAGGAATTACATATGAAAAGGGTTTCAGTTTACAGTCTCAGGAATTACATATGAAAAGGGCTTCAGTTTACAGTCTTAGGAATGAAAAGAGGAAGTTTACAGTCTTAGGAATGAAAAGGGGAAGTTGATCTGACATGCCTGGGTCTCCCTCTTCACCACAAATAAAAAATTAGCACCTGAGAACGATCCAAGATGGCTGATTGCTAACATCTCGGGTTTGCAGCTCCCAGTGAAAGCACAGAGAATGAGAGGACGCCACACTTTCAGACAAATTTTTGTCGCTCACGGAGCAGAAGATTCCCAGTGGAGGAGCCCCATGGGTCACCAGCGTGACTCTTGTGGCCGGCGCAGTGGTTTTGCCAGCACCTCGATGTGGCAGCTCTTGGTGCAGAATAAACGGGACTGGTTCCCCTTCTGACTGACGTTTGGAGCTCTGGGAAGGCAGAATCGCATATTACGAACTCAAGAAGGAAGCCAGACTGCAGATTCCGGGGCAGAAAAGCACCATCAGTCTTAACGCTGCTGTTTTGGCTAGTGCAGTGGGTTGCTTATATTCCGGCCCTGGGAATTAACAACTTGGACGTCCACTCACAGACCTAATTTGAAAGTTGGTAATTACAAAGATGACAGGTGGATAAATTTACAATGATGGGAAGAAACCAGCGTAAAAAGGCTGAGAATACTCAAAATCAGAATGCCTCTCCCTCTAAAGAGGATCACAGTTCCTCATCAACAAGGGAACAAGACTTGATGGAGAATGAGCGCATCCCATTAACAGAATCAGGCTTCAGAAGATGGATAATAAGAAACTTCTGAGAGCTAAAAGAACATGTTGTAGCACAATGTAAAGAAATTAAGAACTTTGAAAAAAGGTTTGACAAAATCCTAATGAGAATAGACAATTTAGAGAGGAATATAAGTGAATTAATGGAACTGAAGAATACAATACAGGAACTCCAAGAAGTTTGCACAGGTTTAAACACTCGAATTGATCAAGCAGAAGAAAGGATATCAGAGGTCGAAGTCTGACTTAGTGAAATAAAACGAGAAGACAATATTAGAGAAAAAAGGATAAAAAGGAAGGAACAAAGTCTCCAAGAAATGTGGAACTATGTGAAAAGACCAAATTTATGTTCGATAGGTGTACCTGAATGCGACAAAGAGAATGAATCCAAGCTGGAAAATATTCTTCAGGATATTATTCAGGAAAATTTTCCTAACCTAGCAAAGCAGGACAATATTCAATCCCAGGTAATACAGAGAACACCACAAAGATATTCCTCAAGAAGAGCAACCCCAAGGCACATAATGGTTAGATTCACCAGGGTTGAAACAAAGGAGAAAATACTAAGGGCAGCCAGAGAGAACAGTCAGGTTACCCACAAAGGGAAGCCTGTCAGACTTACAGCAGATCTCTCAGCAGAAACTCTACAAGCCAGAAGAGAGTGGGGGCCAATATTCGACATCCTTAAAGAACAGAACTTTCAGCCCAGAATTTCATATCCAGCCAAAGTAAGCTTCACAACTGAAGGAAAAATAAGATCTTTTATGAACAAGCAAGTACTCAGAGATTTTATTACCACCAGGCCTGCTTTACAAGAGCTTCTGAAAGAAGCATTACACATAGAAAGAAACAACCAGTACTAGCATTTCTAAAAATATACCAAAAAGTAAAGAGCATCAACATAAAGAAGAATTTACATCAACGAATGGATAAAACAGCCAGTTAACTTCAAATGGCAGTAATCCTAAATTTAAATAGACTAAATCCCCCAATCAAAAGATACAGCCAAAACCCAATGGTATGCTACATCCAGACCCATTTCACATGCAAGGATACACAAAGACTCAAAACAAAGGGATGGAGAAAGATTTACCAACCAAATGGAGAGCAAAAATAAATAAATAAAAAGCAGGAGTTGCAATTCTTGTATCTGATAAATTAGATTTTAAAGCAATAAAGATATAGTGGTAAAAGGATCAATGCAACAACAAGAGCTAATGATCCTAACACCCGGATACATAGAGACTTAGACTCAATGAGACAGAAAATTAATAAGGATATCCAGGACTCGAACTCAGATCTGGAACAAGTAAACTTAATAAATATTTATAGAGTTCTCTACCCTAAATACACAAAATATACATTCTTGTCAATACCACATCACACCTACTCATAGGTTTAAATGAAATATTGATTGGCCATTATTAATATCCATTTTTTTAGAATAAAGCAACGTTTCCATTCTCTCTCCCTCTTTTTCTTCCTCTTTCTTCCTCTCCTTCACTCCTTTTTTATTCTTTCCTTCTCTCAAAAAAAAAAAAAAAAAAAAAAATTAGCACCTGTAGTCCCAGCTACTCGGGAGGCTGAGGAAGAAAAATGGCTTGAACCTGGAAGGCGGACGTTGCAGTGGCAGAGATTGCGCCATTGCACTCCAGCCTGGGGGACAGAATGAAACTCTTTCTCAAACAAAATAAAAAAAAAATTATTTTAGGCAGATAGAGAGGAAAAGGGGTCCTTGAAAAGTTTTCTTCTCTTTTAAAAGCAGCTCCAGAAACATTTCCTGTCTGTCATAAAAGCTCTGGCTTTTAGACCCGGGCTGGCAACCTTTAATATGCAAATGCAGGCTCTGGCTCTTAGAAACTGGGTCCCCCCCAACATGGCGACTCCCACCATTGTCCTCTTGCCCTTGCTTCCACATGTGCCTTGCAACGTGGCCGCCCGGCATATCCCCACGTGTGTTTAGAACCTCCTGGTGCCCAGTATTTGCATATTATAAGGCTAGGGTGGGAAGGCCAGTTTTGTTTTGTTTTTTGAGAGTGAGTCTCGCTCTATCGCCCAGGCTACAGTACAGTGGTATGATCTCAGCTCACTGTAACCTCCATCTCCCAGGTTCAAGTGATTCTCCTGCCTCAGCCTCTTGAGTAGCCGGGGTTACAGGCGTGCGCCACCACGCCTGACTAATTTTTGCATTTTTAGTAGAGACGGGGTTTCACCATGTTGGCCAGGCTGGTCTTGAACTTCTGACCTCAGGTGATCTCACCTCAGCTTCCCAAAGTGCCAGGATTACAGGCGACAGCCACCGTGCCCAGCCATTTTTTTTTTTTTTTTTTTTTTGGTGAGATGGACAGAGAGAGAAACTCCGTCTCAGAAAAAAAAAAAAAAGTGCATCTTAATCTGGTTTCCAGGTGCAAGATGTGTGCCTATCCTTCCATTTAAGGTTCATCAAACTGCTGCTACCTCCCCGTTTCCCACACAATTCACTGCACCTCTAATTTCCCTCTAAAGGGCCAGAACACCTATGCTGGTAACAAGCCACTTGAATTTGAATCCTAGCAAGGTAACTTACTACCTTGGACATTGTACTCTTCTTAATCTCTCTGTGCCTTGGTTTCCTCATGTGTATGAATAACATCAACACCGACATCAAAGTTTGCTGTATTAAATTTGATAATATGTGTAAAGCAATTAGAAAAGTGCCTAGCTCATGGAAAGCCCTATATGAATATTAGCTAACTTTTTTGTTTTCTTTTTTGTGTGTGTGATGGAGTTTCACTCTTATTGCCCAGGCTGGAGTGCAATGGCACGATCTCAGCTCACCCCAACCTTCATCTCCTGGGTACAAGCGATTCTCCTGCCTCAGCCAACGGAGTAGCTGGGAATTCAGGCATGTGCCACCATGCCTAGCTAATTTTGTATTTTTAGTAGAGATGGGGGTTGCTTCACGTTGGTCAGGCTAGTCTCGAACTCCCAACCTCAGGTGATTCGCCTGCCTCGGCCTCCCAAAGTGCTGGGATTACAGGTGTGAGCCACTACCCCTGGCCTAGCTATCATTTTTATACAAGTGCTAGGTTTTGGGAGAATGTAATGACACCTTTGCTTAACAACCTTTAATTGGAGGAGGAGGAGAAAGATAATAAATAGTTATTTGAACACAGTAGAAAGTTCAAATAAAGTGGAAAACAAAAAGAACATAGAACCCAGGTGAGTGGTCCAGACCTCCGGCCAGAAACCTAAGAATCCATAGAAATGGGTGGGAAGCGGAACAGATCCTCCAAACAGCAGGTGGCGCTGTAGCATCTCCCAGAAGGCCCGCTAACAGAATATAGGAGGACGGGCTACCAAGGTCACGTGTCGCTGGCGTTCACTCGCTCTTTGCTCCACGTGACTCACATCCTCACGGGTGATTGGTCTACGTACTGCACGTGGGCGGGGAGACTGGGGCGGACCAGGGAGGGGCGGGATAGGCGGAGGAGAGGGGCAGGGGGCGGAGCTGGAGGGGGTGGTTCCGCGCGGGGGCCGTTGGCTCCAGACAAATAAACATGGAGTCCATCTTCCACGAGAAAGTGAGTGTCCGCGTTCGGTGGGGAGCTGTATGTCCGTGCGGTGGGGAGCTGTCTGCCGCGCGGTGGCGGGCGTGGAGCGCGGCATCACAACCTCCCAGGGGGCTGGGTGGGGCCCGAGTCGCCCCCATCCGGATCTCGCCGGGCGAGGGGCGACCCCGCAGCCTCCCGCCTCCTCGGCTCTGGAAGGGGAGCATCACAGAATCCCCCACTTCCCCCGCTGCTTCCTAGGCCCCCGCCCGGGAAGCCGGGAGGGTGTATGGGCGGGGCCGGGGCGTCTCGGGACAAGGGAGTGGGGTGGCGCCTAGTGGGTTCGCTTCTGCCTTTTTCCGTCACTTTCAATCGCTTTTCGAAGGATTCTTTGACCTCCGCAAGCCTTCTCTCTCCCTAGGGTCTAGCTAGAGTGACCTCTGGGACATCTCCCTCGACCCCTCCTACCCCATTCCTGGCAGAATTAACTTTTTCATCTCTGGACTGCTCAATTCTATATTGCAGTGTAGAGTCTTCCCTACACGTAGATCTTTGGAGTCTTGTTCATGTCTTTCCCCTGCACTGGGTCCGCAAGCCTCCCGAAGGAAGGGACCTTGGCTCCCCCACACTGGGGCCTGACACTTAGGAAGTGAAGTAGGAAACCCGGCTTGTCCCTTAACAGGGAAGTCGTCACAAGTTTTTATTACGGGATGTTTGGGTTTGGTTTCTTTGGGTACTCCCATCTTTCCGGAGCAGGCGGCCAGCTTTGTGTTTGGGTATTAGGAGTGGATTGGAATGATTTTGTTGTGGTCTGCCTAGCCCGCTGTCACTTTAACTCTTCAGTGACCATGCACTTGAAGATACTGTTTGTGATAAGTGGAGAAACTTGTCTTTACTCACATGCTATTAATCCAGCCATTTGTGTGTGAGTGAAGCCTTCCCCAGGACAACTTTGGCATATGATGTCTTGTTTCATAATAGTTTCGTGTTTGGAGTTGCTGGCGAGGCTGTTATTTAATAGGAGGAGCAAAGGGTTTTTGTTTAATTAAATACTTGTAAATGATCAGTAATTATCACGATTAATTATCCCAGACATTTAAAATTCACACACACACAACAAATAAAGCAAAGGCAATAAATTTACCAGATGTAAATCTGTAATATGAATCTATTTAAAAATTTTTTATTTTAGCGATGGGATTTCATTCTGTCACCCAGGCAGGTGTGCAGTGGAGAGATCCTGGCTCGCTGCAGCCTTGACCTCCTAGGCTCAAGCGATCCTCCTGCCTCAGCCTCACTGGGACTTCTGGTGCATATCGCCATGGCCAGCTAATTTGTGTGTGTGTGTGGAGATGAGGGTCTCGCTGTGTCGCCCATGCTTGTCTCAAACTCCTGGACTCGTGATTCTCCCACCTCAGCCTCTCGAAGTGCTGTGATTACAGGCATTAGCCAGCCACTGTGCCTGGAACAAATTGTTAAGTACAATATTTTAAATTGTAGAAAACATCTAGGAAACTTTTAAAATAGACTGATTTAGAGTGGGGGAGGAAAGACTCAGTCGTATAGTTGTTATTAATCTTTTGGTTTGATTGACATGACTTACAAATCATAGACAATAGAGATTTAATTACTTGGCTCAGTAATTAAAGAGTGGGTGGAAAATACACATGTACTTAAAAAAAAAATTTTTTTTTTTTTTTTTTTGAGACCAAGTTTTGCTCTTGTCACCCAGGCTGGAATGCAGTGGCACGATCATGGCTCACTGCAACCTCTTCCTCCCTGGTTCAAGGGATTCTCCTGCGTCAGCCTCCAGAGTAGTTGAGATTACAGGTGCCCACCACCACATCCAGCTAATTTTTGTATTTTTAGTAGAGACAGGGTCCATGTTGCCCAGGTCTTGAACCCCTGACCTCAGGTGATCCACCTGCCTTGGCCTCCCAAAGTGCTCGGATTACAGGCATGAGCTACCGCACCCAGCCGTATTTTTGTTACTAACTTTCAAAGGCTTTGATGTGGGACCACATCTCAACATGGAAGGCCTTAAATATGTTCCACACTACTTCCTGAGATTTAGACAAGGTTTTCAACGATATTGATTGTTACCTAGTTGGGACACATTTCTACTGAACCATGGTATGAAAAAAAGTTGGGTGCTAGCCTAGTGAAAATCTACTTACCTGAAAGAAGTCCCTCTTAATTCTTAGCATGTGTGTAGGCCTACAGATACTTCAGGAATACATTTAATGTTATCATCAAGTTGTATGTACATAGCAAATGAAGATTCAACAATTTAGGTTGATGTTTTTGTTTTTTGAGATGGAGTCTCTCTCTCCTGCCCAGGCTGGAGTGCAGTGGCGTGATCTTGGCTCACTGCACTCTCCACCTCCCGGGTTCAAGTGATTCTCCTGCCTTAGCCTCCTGAGTAGCTGGGATTATAGGCGCCCACCATCATGACCAGCTAATTTTTGTATTTTGTTGTTGTTGTTGTTGAGACAGAGTTTTGCTCTTGTTGCCGAGGCTGGAGTGCAATGACACAGTCTCAGCTCACTGCAACCTCCGCCTCCCTGGTTTAAGCGATTCTCCTGTCTCAGCCTCCTGAGTAGCTGGGATTACAGGCGCCCACCACCATGACTGGCTAATTTTTTGTATTTTCAGTAGAGACGGGGTTTCACCATGTTTGCCAAGAGTAGTCTTGAACTCCTGACCACAAGTGATCTGCCTGCCTCAGCCTCCCAAAGTGCTGAGATTACAGGCATGAGCCACCGTGCCCAGCAACAATTTAGTTTTTTGGGCATACTCAAGAGTATGCACCTATAACCATAGGGCCCATTGTTAATCTCCTATATAGTCCATTCTGGAATGTTTGGGCTTACTATGCCATTTTTCAGTTTACTCCCTTCCTCTCTGCAATATACCTTTAACCCTTGCTAGGTCCCGGGTTTGGAGAGCCAGAAACCAACTCTGGCCCTAAAGAAGCTGTGAAGGTCGGACTATCTGCCTACAAAGGGCCTTGTAACCACTTGCTCTGGAACTTTGGTTTCCGCTTTCTGAGTGATCATTTTGAGTACCCTTTATTAAGTTAAAATTCAGTTTCTCACTGATAAATCTACAGTGCCTGAGATAGGGCCTGGCATAGAGTAAGTACTCAATAAATTTTTGAATGGGGTGGGGTGTGGTGAGACCTGTCTCTATAAAGAACAAAATTAGCCAGGCATGGTAGCACATGTCTGTGGTCCCAGATACTTGGGAGGCTGAGGTGGGAGGATGCATGAGTCAGGGAGGTCAAAGCTGTAGTGAGCCAAGATTCCACCACTGCACTGCAGCGTGGGGGACAGAGCAAGATCCTGTCTCAAAAGAAAAAAAGATATATTTTTGAATGGATAAAGACAGGTCTTTGATTTTCTGATATGTATACGGTGCTGTTTATCTAAAGTAAACAACTTTTCTATAAGTATCTTAAGGCTTTGCAGGCCAGCTCTAGTCTCTGTCACACATTCCTATTTGTGTCTGTGCACGTTTTTCCCAATGATCCAAAAATGTAAAGTGCATTCTTACCTGCTGGGGCAAGTCGAATTTGGCCCATGGGGCTAGAGTTTCCCAACCCCTAACTTAAACCTTCATGCTAATTTTGTGACCACTAACTACTGGATTTTTGTCCTTTGTTTTCGTTCTGGTGCCTGCTTTCTGTCATGTTTCTAAGTCACTTCACTTGCTATGCCAGTTGTATTGGTGTTTTTAATGTAATGCAAACTGAGAATACTGACTAAAGTTGCTGGGGTTGTACATAAAATTATCGAAAAGATTGAAAATATACTGAGCTTTGACGCTGTGGCATTCATTATGCCCTTTTGCGATTGCTGGCTTTTAGCCATCTTTAGGATATTTGAGCTTTAGGAGAAGCCAAATTCTGTGTGAGTGACTTGAAGTGCTAATAGCACAGATTTTGAAACCTCTGCCTGGGTTTGAGTCTCAGCTCTGCCTTTTACTACTTGTAAAAAACTATGGTGAACCATAGTTTGTAAACTCCAAACTGATAGTAGGACAGAAAATTTGTGTTAGCAGAGGCATTTGTGTTACTGTTTGAATTAAAAAAAAAAAAAATAGGTATAGAGGCTGAGTTTGGTGGCTAATGCCTGCAATCCCAACACTTTGGGAGGCCGAGGTGGGAGGATCACGAGGGCAGGAGATCAAGACCATCTTGGCTAACACAGTGAAACCCCATCTCTACTAAAAATACAAAAAAGTAGGGATGGTGGCACGTGCCTGTAGTCCCAGCTACTGTGGGGGCTGAGGCAGGAGAATTGCTTGAACCTGGGAGGCAGAGGTTGTAGTGAGCTGAGATCACGCCACAGCGCTCCAGCCTGGGCAACAGAGTGAGACCTCCGTAACAACAACGAAAAAAAGAAAGAAAGAAAGAAAAATTAGGTATAGAGGAGCACACAAATCATTAAGAGTATAGCTCAGTGAATTCTCACAAAGTGAACACGTGTACACAGCGAGGAACAGAAGATTTAGCTACATCCTATAACCTCCCTTTTCTAGGTACTAACTCTTCTTCCACCACACTCCCACCAAAAATAACCACTGTCATGAATTCTGACATCATAAATGAGTTTTGCCTGGTTTTGAGCTTTTTTTTTTTGAGAGAGAGTCTCACTCTGTTACGCAGGCTGTAGTGCAGTGGCACAATCTCAGCTCACTGCAACCTCCGCCTCCCAGGTCCCCTGCCTCAGCCTTCCATGTTGGCCAGGCTGGTAGTCTCAAACTGCTGACCTCAGTTGATCCACATGCCTCGGCCTCCCAAAGTGCTGGGATTACAGGCATGAGCTACCATGCCAGGCCTGGTTTTGAGCTTTTGTGACTGGAATTGTGCAGTGTATATACCCTTTTGACTATGTCCTTTTTAGCTTACCGTTGTTTGAGAGATTTATCCATACTGTTCCAGGTAGCTGTAGTTAATTCATTCTCATTGTTACATAGTATTGCTTTGTGAGGAAACACACTTTCTATTCTGCTGTGATCCCAGCTATCCATTTGGGTCATTTCCAGTTTTGGGGCCATTACAAATAGTAATGCTGTCTGTAATGCTATTTTGTGTTACTAAAAATAGTAATGCAATTTGTAGCACAGAAATGGTGCTTTTGTGAATATTCTTATACATACCTTTTGATGAACGTATGTTTGCATTTCTGTTGTTTACATTATGTTCCTAGTAATGGAATTGCCAGATCCTAGATGTATGCGTTAAGCTTTAGTAGATGCATTAAATAATTATCAGTTATTATTGGTTATACCAATTTACCCTCTAACCAGTAGTATACAACAGTTTCTAAATCTCTAATCTCCAACATTTTAGCCATTTTAGAGAGTTTGTGTGATAACCCATTGTGGTTTTAATTTACATTTCCCTGATGACTAATGAAGTTGAGTACCTTTTTTGTGTTCTTTGTAGCCATTTGTCTGTCTTGTAAAGTGCTTATTTGTCTTGCCTATTTTTCTTTTTTCTTTCCCTTTTTTTTTTTTTGGAGACAGGTTCATACCCTGTCACCTAGGCTGGAGTGTAGTGGTACAATCTCAGCTTACTGTAGCCTCAGCCTTTTTGTGGCTCAAGTTATCCTGCCATCTCAGCCTCTCAAGAAGCTGGACTATAAGCATGCACCACCATGCTTGGCAAATTTTGATTTTTTTTTTGAGATGGAGTTTTGCTCTTGTTGCTCAGGCTGGAGTGCAGTGGTGTGATCTCAGCTTACTGCAACCTCCACCTCCTGGGTTCAAGTGATTCTTCTGCCTCAGCCTCCCAAGTAGCTGGGATTATAGGCATGCACCACCGCACCCAGCTAATTTTTATTTTTTGTAGAAATGGGGTTTCACCATATTGCCTAGGCTGGTCCCAGACTTCTGGGCTCAAGTAATCCTCCTGCCGTGGCCTCCCAAAATGCTGGGATTACAGGCATGAGCCACCGCAGCCAGGCTTGGCTATATTTCAGTAGGATATAAGTAGAACATCTGTCTATCCCTTCAATTTGCATCAGTAAGAGTTGCACTCTGATAGTAGAAATATAGAAGATGGAGAAAGAAGTGGAAATAAAAAGTCTATTCTCATGAGAAGACTTGAGGGATAGTGTTCTCTCTAGCTCCAAGCTACTTATTCCTTTCCAAAAGACGAAGGTAAACTTATCTCAGACTTAGGCTGTCTCAATGCCAGAACTTGATATTTCCTGTAGCAATGCAGTCTTCCTATTCCATTATATACACATAACCTGCATTTTTTTCACCAGCTGAATTTTGTTCCTAGAACATTGATTCATCAGGAAAAATATCCCATCTTGCAAGGTGGTTCTCTTTAGAGTCTACTGTGTAACATAGCTTGGGACAAACTGCATGATGTCAGATAGGTTGGGTTAAGGAATAGATTTTATTGGGGAAAGAGAGCACTTGGAGGGCCAAGGTTAGCAGGAAAAGGAAATGTTCTCTCATCTGCCATCAATTCAGGGAGGGGCAAACCTGGTGTTTACAGGGACAAATCCATCCTATGAGTCTCCCTTCTTATCAGATAGCATGGGAAAGCTACACTGTTGTAGAAGGAGGGTCATACGCAGGCTACTCGGTGCCAGGAAGCCCGGACTTGGATTCAGAGTGCCAGTTGTGTGAGAAAGCCAACTTACCAGTACCTGAAGGGCTTGAACTCATGGGAAGTTGTACCTACTTCCCACAAGGAAGAAGCCTGTCATGGAAGCTGAGCTTCGGTGCAGTCCCTCTTGCTGGCTGGTCCAGGAGCGAGCTCCAGGGTTGTTTGGGACAGTTCGGCACATTGCATTACACTGTGTATATATTATCTGTAGAGTTCCATGAAGAGAACTTCAGTCCTGTAACTGCAAGTTTTAACATGGAACAGAATTTTTCTCACCTGTATTAATTCTTAAGATTTAAAATTCTATCAACAAGCGTTTAGGGAGGTTTTTTGTTTGTTTTTCTTTTTCTTTTTAAGACCAAGTCTTGCTCTCTCACCCAGGCTGGAGTGGCAGTGGCACATGGCTCACTGCAGGCTCCACTTCCCAGATTCAAGCGATTCTTATGCCTCAGTGTCCCGATTAGCTAGAACTACAGGTGCACACCAACATGCCTGGTTAATTTTTGTATTTTCAGTAGAAGAGACGGGGTTTCACCCTGTTGGTCAGGATAGTCTCAAACTCCTGGCCTCAGGCAATCCACCTGCCTCCGCCTGCCAAAGTGTTGGGTTTACAGATGTGAGCCACCATGCTTGGCCAAGATTATCATGTTAAAAGAATAAATGTTGGCCGGGCACGGTGGCTCACGCCTGTAATCCCAGGACTTTGGGAGGTCAAGGTGGGCGGATCGCAAGGTCAGGAGATTGAGAACATTTTGGCCAACATGGTGAAACCCTATCTCTACTAAAAATACAAAAATTAGCAGGGCGTGGTAGCCCGTGCCTGTAGTCCCAGCTGCTCTGGAGGCTGAGGCAGGAGAATCACTTGAACCCAGGAAGCGGAGGTTGCTGTGAGCTACGCGCCACTGCACTCCAGCCTGGGTGACGAGTGAAACTCTGTCACCTCCCCGCCCCCCCCGCCACCACCAAAATAAAAGAATAAATGTTCTAGGGAGCTGGGCACAGTGGCATGTTTCTGTAATCCTAGCTGCTCGGGAGGCTGAGGCAGGAAGATCTCTTTAGCTCTGGAGTTCAAGTCCATCCTGGGCAACATAGTGAGACCTTGTTTTTTAAATAAATAAATAACTGTTATTGGGACTGAAATTTTTTTTCACTGTTAGTAATTTACTCTGAATTTACAATGAATTTTACAAGAATGAATTTATCTTAGGTACTAAAAATGAGGGAGACTAAATGTTTTATATAGTAGTTTTCAGTAAAATATGAGATTTGGGGCCGGGCGTGGTGGCTCATGCCTGTAATCCAAGCACTTTGGAGGCCAAGGCGGGTGGATCACCTGAGGTTGGGAGTTCAAGACCATCCTGACCAACACGGTGAAACCCCATTTTTTTTTTTAAAAAAAGAGAAATTTGATGCATTTGACAGATGATCATGTTTGTTTAAAATCATTCTTAAATTTTTGATCATGTAATTGTAGTTTTATTAATGGTAGATTTGTAAAATAAATGTTAAATGAAAATTCATGTACCTATATTAATTACGCTTATCTAAAGCTGAAAGTTCTGTTCAACTATTTTTTTTTTTGACACAGGGTTTACTCTGTTGCCCAGGTTGGAGTGTAGTGGCACAATCTCTGTTCACTACAACCTCTGCCTCCCGGGTTCAAGCAGTTCTCTGCCTCAGCCTCCCGAGTAACTGGGATTAGCGTCACCTGGCCTGGCTAATATTTTGTATTTTCAGTAGAGATGAGGTTTCACCATGTTGGCTAGGCTGGTCTTGAACTCCTGACATCATGATCCATCCGCCTTGGCCTCCCAAAATGCTGGGGTTACAGGTGTGAGCCACTGCACCCGGTCCCAGTTCAACTATGTTAAAAAAAAAAACAAGTTACCCGGGCCCAGGGGCTCATGCCTATAATCCCAGCTCTTTGGGAGGCTGTGGTGGGCAGATCACAAGGTCAGGAGTTGGAGACCAGCCTGGCCAACATAGTGAAACCCTGTCTCTGTTAAAAATACAAAAATTAGTCAGGCATGATGGTAGGTACCTGTCGTCCCAGCTGCTCGGGAGGCTGAGGCAGGAAAACCGCTTCAACTTGGGAGGTGGAGGTTGTGGTGAGCTAAAATTGAGCCACTGCACTCCAGCCTGGGCAACAGAGCAAGACTCTGTCTCAAAAGAAACAAAACAAAAAAAGTTAATGATTAAATTATTTAGGGGAAAGATACTACACAATTCTGTTTAATAAGTCACATTTTACTTTTTTCTTTTGGAAATATTAGCAAGAAGGCTCACTTTGTGCTCAGCATTGCCTGAATAATTTATTGCAAGGAGAATATTTTAGCCCTGTGGAGTTATCCTCAATTGCACATCAGCTGGATGAGGAAGAAAGGATGAGAATGGCAGAAGGAGGAGTTACTAGTGAAGATTATCGCACATTTTTACAGGTACTGATTTTAAACTCACTAAGTCACTTTTTTTTTCTTGAGACAGAGTCTAACCCTGTTACCCAGTCTGGAGTAAAATGGCATGATCTTGGCACACTGCAACCTCCACCTCCTGGGTTCAAGTGATTCTCCTGCCTCAGCCTCCCCAGTAGCTGGGATTATAGGCCTATGCCACCACGCCTGGCTACTTTTTTGTATCTTTAGTAGAGACAGGTTTTACCATGTTGGCCAGGATTACAGGTGTGAGCCACCACACCTGGCCCACATTTCTTTTAAAAACAGGGATACTATTTAGAAATATTCTTCCTATAGGGATCTGACTGGTGAATTCTGATTGCGCCTTTAACTTTGGAAATGGGAATGCATGAGATGTTATTTTAAATATGCACGCTGATGACAGTTTGTATCCTTCTTTCCCCACCCTGACCCTGCTTCAACTACCTGTCAAAATCAACAGCAGCCTTCTGGAAATATGGATGACAGTGGTTTCTTCTCTATTCAGGTAAGTAGTCACGCGTGTGTACCATGTGCTGCTTACATCCCAGGCACTGTTTCACAGCCTTTCAGTAGTCACTGCAACAATGTGACCTTCAGAAGTTCTTCTAATAGATCATGTTTACCGAGTATAAGATTATACTCTAAAGTACTAGATAGCTTTTCTTTTTTTTTTCTGAGATGAAGTCTCGCTCTGTCGCATAGGCTGGAGTGCAGTGGCGCAGTATCGGCTCACTGCAGTCTCTGCCTCCCGGGTTCAAGCAATTCTTTTGCCTCAGCCTCCTGTGTAGCTGAGATTATAGGCACCCACCACCATGCCTGGCTACTTTTTGTATTGTTAGTAGAGACGGGTTTCACCATGTTGGCCAGGCTGGTCTCAAACTCCTGACCTCAAATGATCTTCTTGCCTCAGCCTTCCAAAGTGCTAGGATTACAGCCATGAGCCACCATGCCCGGCCAACTAGAATACTGGATTTTTATATAGATAAACATGAAAGGATTGTAGAATCTTCATGTTAGAATGGGGCATTTAAAAATTCTTTTTTGAGAAAGATTATTTAATTGGCATCTGGATTTTTTTTTTTTTTGAGACAGAGTTTCACTCTTGTTATCCAGGCTGGAGTGCAATGGCGCGATCTCGGCTCACTGCAACCTCCGCCTCCTGGGTTCAGGCAATTCTCCTGCCTCAGCCTCCTGAGTAGCTGGGACTACAGGCGTGTGCCCTATGCCCAGCTAATTTTTTGTATTTTTAGTAGAAACGGGGTTTCACCTTGTTGACCAGGATGGTCTCGATCTCTTGACCTCGTGATCCACCCGCCTCAGCCTCCCAAAGTGCTGGGATTACAGGCGTGAGCCACCGCGCCTGGCAACATCTGGATGTTAATAGTAACCTTAATTCTGGCCAAGTGCGGTGGCTCATACCTGTAATCCCAGCACTTTGGGAGGCCATGCAGGGCGGATCACAAACTCAGGAGATTGAGACCATCCTGGCCAACATGGGGAAACCCCGTCTCTACTAAAAATACAAAAATTAGCTTGGCAAGGTGGTGCCTGCCTGTAATCCCAGCTACTTGGGAGGCTGAGGCAGGAGATCACTTGAGCCAGGGTGTTGGAGGTTGCAGTGAGCTGAAATCATGCCACTGCACACCAACCTGGCGACAGAGCGATACTCCGTCTCAAAAACAAGAAAAAAAAAAGAAAAACCTTAATTCTAAGAAGTCACAATGTTCAAACTTACCATCTGTTGGGTAAATTTGAGAAAATGCAGTACCTTGCTACCTTCCTTTTAAATCAGCCTACCAGATTGGATTTCCTTATCATGGTCTGTGGGTTTTGATCTTTGTTTTTTTTTTAACGTATACCTCTCTTTGAATTCGGTGGTGGTTGTACATATGTACTTGGAAGATTCTTTTATCTGTGGGTCTTTCATTCTTCTTCTAACACTGTGAGTTGTATCCAGAGTTCTTTCGGAACCTCTCCTGAGCGACCTATCTTTGCAGATATCTTTGTTTATTTGTACTACCCTCCTGGACTCCTCCTCATCCACCAACACGTCCATCTAGTGCTTAACTGTGCCACTGTTAGCAGGTGATGGCTACTGCAGGGCTAGAATCGGAGGTCAGAGCAGGCCCAGCACTTGGCGTTTCCTGTTTGTGCCTTGCTGCTCTTGGTGCCTATTCATGCTGCCTTGCACTCACTTTTTGTCTTTGCTGGTACCAGGCTCACTTGCTTCTTTGTTGGCTGTCTTGGAGGGTAGATAGTGAATTTTCAGAAATTTCCTTTTTTTTTTTTTTTTTAGTCAGACAGATTGAAATAATCAGGTTTACCTTTTCTTTTTTTTTTTTTTTGAGACAGAATCTTGCTCTGTCACCAGGCTGGAGTGCACTGGTGCAGTCTTGGCTCACAGCAATCTCTTAACTCCCGTGTTCAAGCGATTCTCCTGCCTCAGCCTCCCAAGTAGCTGGGATTACAGGCACTGGCCACCACACCCAACAAAATTTTGTATTTTTAGTAGAGATAGAGTTTCACCATGTTGGCCTGTCTCGTCTTGAACGCCTGACCTCAGGTGATCCACCCACCTTGGCCTGCCAAAGTCACACACACGCTTTTTAAAACTTATAGCTAGCGTAGCACAGTGGCTTATGCCTGTAATCCCAGCACTTTGGGAGGCTGAGGCGGGTGGATCATGAAGTCAGGAGATCGAAACCAGCCTGGCCAACATAGTGAAAGGCCTTTACTAAAAATATAAAAATTAGCTGGGCGTGGTGGCACATGCCTATAATCCCAGCTACTCCAGAGCCCAAGGTAGGAGAATCACTTGAACCTGTGGGAGGAGGTTGCAGTGAGCTGAGATTGTGTCACTACACTTCAGCCTGGGTGACAGAGCAAGACTCCATCTCAAAAACAAACAAACCTATAGCCTTCTAGAGGAATTTGTATATGAAGTACACAACTAACATAGCTACAGTTCTTAAAGTGTTTACACAACTAACATAGCTACACTTCTTAAATTTGGAATGGAGTGGTTTAGCTTATGGAAAGTTGCTATTTTTCTTAACAGGTTATAAGCAATGCCTTGAAAGTTTGGGGTTTAGAACTAATCCTGTTCAACAGTCCCGAGTATCAGAGGCTCAGGATCGATCCTATGTAAGATTTTGTTTTGCATTTCATACATTTCTTTTCCCAAATTTGATTTTTAAAGTTACAGTTTCTTAAAGGAGAAATATATTTTGAATACTTTCAATGTTCCCTGTTTCATTCTCTCAGACTTTCCTAGTTCACCTCTGTGATGTCCATGAGCATCTGCCCTCTAGCCTTCCTGGCACCCCAGTGTCCGTGGCAGCACAGAGCTGACCCTTGAGTGGTGTGTGAGGCCATCTTTGGCACGGCATCACTAAGCTGCTGCAGAGACGTTCATATGGTTGTGTGATCTTTTCAAAACATCAGTGATATTCAACTGTAAATATAATCTTGTTATCACAGATTTTATATACTATTTGCCAGTAGACAACATAAATATGAATTTAGTATTTCAAGTTAATATTGTGTGTTTCTTTTTTAGAAATGAAAGATCATTTATATGCAATTATAAGGAACACTGGTTTACAGTTAGAAAATTAGGAAAACAGGTAAGATTTCTTACCCTTCCATGTCTTTTTTTCTTATTCTGTATCCCATTTAAAATCGGGCCAGATACAGTCACTCATGCCTATAATCCCAACAGTTTGGGAGGTGGGGGGATCACTTGAAGCCAGGAGGTGGGGGATCACTTGAAGCCAGGAGGTGGGGGATCACTTGAAGCCAGGAGGTGGGGGATCACTTGAAGCCAGGAGTTTGAGACCAGCCTGGGCAACAAAGTGAGGTCCTGTCTCTACAAAAAAAAAAAAAAGACCAGGCATGGTGGCTCATATCTATAATTCCAGCTACTTCAGAGGCTGAGGCAGGAGGATCACTTGAGCTCAGTAGTGTGAGGCCAAAGTGAAATATGATTGTGCCACTGTACCCCAGCCTGCGTGACGGAGTGAGACTCTGTTTTATAAAACATAAAAAGGAAAATAAAATTAAAAAAAATTTTTTAAAAAGGATTTTTGCATTTAAAAGTAGGAAACTGACCAGTAATGTGTGTGTGGGGCATGGTTTTGATCCTGATAGATAGAAAATTTGTCATTTTATTTTATTGAAAATTTGTCATTTTAAAACGTACTATCAGTTTTTCTTATAAATTTATTTGTGACAAGTATATGCAATTTAACTATATCATAAGAAAAATTCCGTCTCCCTCCCTGACGCACGCACGCTCTCTTCTCTCTCTCTCTCTCTCTCTCTCTCTGTATTTTATTTATTTATTTATTTATTTATTTTTTTTGAGAGGGAGTTTCGCTCTTGTCACCCAGGCTGGAGTGCAGTGGGACGACCTTAGCTCACTGCAGCCTCTACCTCCTGGGTTCAGGTGATTCTCCTGCCTCAGCTTCCTGAGTAGCTGGAGATTACAGGCATGTGCCACAATGCCTGGCCAATATTTTTGTATTTTTAGTAGAGAATGAGGTTTCTCCATGTAAGTCAGGCTGGTCTTGAACTCCCAACCTCAGGTGATCTGCCTGCTTTGGCCTCCCAAAGTGCTGGGATTAGAAGTGTGAGCCACTGCGCCTGGCCTGAAAAATTCTCTATTAAAGACACTACAAATGTGGTTACTTCTAAGTGGGTTTTTATGTGATGACTATGTTCTGTCAGCTAATTATTACATTTATAGATTTGTATTTAGCACAGGGCTGTCACAAAGCCTGGAGTAGTGTCAAGCATGAAAAAAAGCATTCAATTATGTTCGCTTTAGTGCAACAAGATTATTCATATGATTTCAGAAGCCAGGTAATACCATCTACATAAAATCACTTCTTTTTTTTAAAAAAAACATGAACTATGTCTTCAGCAAACTATTTTAAGAAACAAAATCATTTAACATCCTTTTTATTAGAATTTCGAATCTTCAAAAGAGGTTTATTGAAAACCAGCTAGTCCAGTAAAAAAGAATAAAGCGCCATTGCACTCCAGCCTGGGTAACAAGAGTGAAACTCCGTCTCAAAAAAAAAAAAGAATAAACTATGGATACATGCAGCAACATGGATTAATCTCTAATTATGTTGAAAGAAAAACCCAGAAACAAAATACTATATGCTGTATATGGTACCATCTACATAAAAGTCTAGAAAAGTGCAGATTCATCTGTAGGGATGGAAAGCAGATCGAGCAGTGGTTGCTTGGGGACGAGAAGTCTAAGGAGGAGTTAGAGGGGAGGGTTACAGAGAGGCACAGGAAACGTGGCAGTGATCAGTGTGCTCACTGTCTTGGTTGTAGTAGTGGTTTCATGGGAGTACAGTATACAAATGTCAAAATATTTCTAAGTCAGATGCGGTGGGTCATGTCTGTGATGCCAGCACTTTTGGAAGCCAAGGCAGGATGATCGCTTGAGCTAATGGAGTTCAGGATCAGCCTGGGCAATGTCACAAGACCCCATCTCCACACAAAAAATGAAAAAAAAAGTTGTCTAGGCGTGGTGATGCCTCCCTGTAGTCCCAACTGCTAGAGAGGCTGAGGTGGGAGCCCAGAAGGTTGAGGCTGCAGTGAGTCATGATCACACCACTGCACTGGTGACAGAAGAAGATCCTGTCTCAAAAAAAAAAAAAAATTTCAAATGGTACACTTTGAATATCTGCAGTTTATTGCATGTCATGTCTACCTCAGTGAAGCTGGGTTTTTTTTGTTTGTTTTTTAATAAAAACTGAAGGTGGCTCATGCTTGTAATCCCAGCACTTTGGGAGGCAGAGATGGGTGGATCATGATATCAGGATTTCTAGACCAGCCTGACCAAGATGGTAAAACCCCATCTCAACTGATATACAGAAATTAACAGGGCATGATGGCACATGCCTGTAATCACAGCTACTCAGGAGGCTGAGGCAGGAGAATCACTTGAACCCAGGAGGCGTAGGTTGCAGTAAGCAGAGATCACACCACTGTACTCCAGCCTGGGCGACAGAGCAGACTCCATCTCAAAAAAAAAAAGTAAATGCCAAAAAAGATAAAAGTCAAGAAAGAGTATATTGAATTAAATCAATAAAAGATCATTCAAAAACAAAAACCCTACTTCTACTTTTTTTTTTTTTTTTTGAGACAGAGTTTCGCTCTTGTTACCCAGGCTGGAGTGCAGTGGCTTGATCTCAGCTCACCGCAACCTCCGCCTCCTGGGTTCAGGCAATTCTCCTGCCTCAGCCTCCTGAGTAGCTGGGATTACAGGCACGCGCCACCATGCCCAGCTAATTTTTTGTATTTTTAGTAGAGATGGGGTTTCACCTTGTTGACAGGATGGTCTCGATCTCTTGACCTCGTGATCCACCCGCCTCGGCCTCCCAAAGTGCTGGGATTACAGGCTTGAGCCACTGCGCCCAGCCCCCCCTTTTTTTTTTGGAGACAGAGTCTCACTCTGTCACCAGGTGCCATGCTGGAGTGCAGTGGCGCGACCTCGGCTCACTGCAGTCTCTGCCTTCCGGATTCAAGCAATTCTCCTGCCTCAGCCTCCTGAGTAGCTGGGACTACAGGCACACGCCACCACACCCAGCTAATTTTTTTGTATTTTTAGTAGAGACGAGGTTTCACCATATTGGCTAGGATGGTCTTGATCTCTTGACCTCATGATCCGCCTGCCTCGGCCTCCTAAAGTGCTAGGATTACAGACGTGAGCCACCACACCAGGCTTCTATTGTAGTTTTTACAATCATATTATTCAGTTAAAGAAAAGAGCTCAACTTGACATATTTCTAGAGTTTAAACAATCTTACTAAGCTTAGATGATTATACCTATTCTTATTTCCTTATTACCTGTAATGTACACTAAAATATTGACAATTTTTTTTTCAGTGGTTTAACTTGAATTCTCTCTTGACGGGTCCAGAATTAATATCAGATACATATCTTGCACTTTTCTTGGCTCAGTTACAACAGGAAGGTAAGTAAAGGCTGAAAATTTTGTTATGTTATCTTCCAGAGTAGGTAAACAGGCACATTAGATGTAAGTGTGACAATACTGTTTTTCTGGCAGTGGCAGTGAACTAACCTTTAGGTTTGACATGGTGAATGTTAGGCTGTGATTTGGGTGAAGCTGTTCAGTTAGAGTTGTCACTGACACCTGGCCATCCCTCTTCTGAGGATGCTGCCTTCTTTGCAGCCCTTCTAAGTAATGGCTTCTTCTTTTATACATCACATACCTGAGAGGAGAGATATTTTTGTTCTTTGCCTCTTCTAGGCCACTGTTCTTCTCTATAAACTCCAGTTTCTTTGAAATACATGCCCCTGGATTAAACTATTCCTTGCCCTTTTGCACTGTCCTCAAGTCTCTTTTCATCAGTGATTTTAGGATCTGACTCACTGTCTTTTTCTCTACTTCAACGTCTTTTATCCTTCTTAATCATTCCTATATCATTAATCAATCCAATCAATCCAGTACCTGCTTCTTAGTTTCAAAATCACTTACTCTTGCTTAGCTGTTACCAGTAATCATAACCACCATCAGATCTCAATTGCAAGCATATTACTCTTTAAATACCTCTTATCTTTTTTTTTTTTTTTTTTTTTTTTGAGACAGAGTCTCACTCTGCCTCCGGGGTTAAAGCAATTTTCCTGCCTCAGCCTCCCGAGTAGCTGAGATTATAGGCATCCACCACCACACCCAGCTAATTTTTGTATTTTTAGTAGAGATGGGGTTTCACCATGTTGGCCATGATGGTCTCGATCTCCTGACTTTGCAATCCGCCTGGCCTGGCCTCCTAAAGTGCTGGAATTACAGGCATGAGCCACCGTGTCCGGCCTCCACCTCCTATCTTTAAACCATGTTTTATCTGGTTTTTTATTCCAACCATTCTTTAAACCCTACCATGGGGCCCAAGCATTTTCCTTATATGCATTCTTTTGCTTATACTGCTTGTTTTCTGTAATCCATCATTATAATCACTCCATTGCATTCTTCAGCTTGTTTCCCCTTCTCTCCCTCCATCATACTTGAATGACAAAAATCTCAACCCTGATTAAAACCAAATCTTGACTTTGTTCATTCCTGTACCAGAGTAGCTGGACATGGCTAAAAAATAACATAAAACATGATTGGTTTTACTTTTTTCTTAAATGATCTATCCATCTATTCATCCATCCATCCGTCTGTCGAAGAGACTGAGCCACTCTCCAAAGCCCAGGCTGGAGTGTAGCAGCATAATCAAAGCTCATTGCAGCCTCAAACTCCTGGGCTCAGGTGATCCTCTTGCCTCAGCCTCCTGAGTAGCTGGGACTACAGGCTTATGCTACCACACCTAGCAAAGGTTTTACTTCAAATTTAGTATAATCACAAAATTCAAATGAGTCCTTAGTGCTGCGTGATATTTCTACTATGTTTTCTTAGTAAATCCATGTACCACCCTCCAAGATGTTTATAAAAAAATCATGTACCACTCGCCAAGATTAATTTCACAGCTTATGTCTTCAACCCTTTAACCACTTTCTTCTCCCTTGTTTACAAACTTTGCTTATGGCCTTCTGTTACATTCTGCTGAGAATATAGAAGCAATTAAAATTATGTTATCTTTCTGTCAGCAAATTTATCAATTTGCTTATATCGCTACTTGTGCTTTGAGCCTATTAAAATAGATGAGTGGTCCCCTACCTCTAGCCAAGACCAGCCCCTCACTTGTGAGCTGGATCCCAGCTCCTGTCACCTACTCAAGATGTTCCTGCTTTCATCTCTCCACTCTCTTATATAATCAGTTTCCCTCCTTTTTTTTTTGTAGTATTCCTAGAAGAAGAAAAAGAAGCGCTGTCTCTCCATTGATTGAAAAGAAAAAGCCTCTCTTAATTCTGTGAAACTCCAGCTGCTTCCCTGTTTTTATTTTTTCCTTAGAATTGCCTCTAGTGTGCCTTCTTTTTTTCTTGAACTCTGCCTCCCAGGTTCAAGCGATTCTCTCGCCTAAACTTGCTGAGTAGCTGGGATTACAGGCATGCACCACCATGCCTGACTAATTTTTTTTATTTTTAGTAGATACAGGGTTTCACCATATTGGCCAGGTTGTTCTCGAATTTGTGGCCTCAAGTGATCCACCTGCCTCAGCCTTGCAAAGTGCTGGGATTATTTCATGGGCCACCATGCTCTACCACCTTTTAACAATGGTATTTAGAGATCACAGTCTGAGTGCTGGCAGCTTTTTGCTACGAGGTTTGTTATGATGTTATTGTGAATTCACATTTAGGAATATAGTGTTTTTAATTATTTGATTTTAGATACTTGTATCTTTTTTCTATCTAAAACCTTCATTCCTAACAATATCCCTTCTTTGAAACCCTGCATCTTTCAGATTCCTTTCATGGATCTTAGTCTTTCCAATCTCTGACTATTGAAGTGACCTAAGATTAAATCTTGTACAACTTCTTGATTATGTGCCACTGCATTCCTTTAAGTCATCTCTAATTAAGATCTACGTGTCAGTAATTACTATATTTTTATCTTCAGTCTTGATATCTACCCTGAACACCTAGCTTTGACTAACTCCTAGCTTTGGCATCTCCACTTGGAAGTCCAAAAAGCATTTCAAACTGAACATATCTATGAAAGACTTTTTTTCTCTCTATCCATGCTATCCATAAGGTTTTCCATTTCCATAAGGGTGACTCTTCTTGTACTCTGGTTCGTACATATTATACTGATAGAGCAGCTCAGAATGCTTCTTAAACAGTGTAATATGAGGCGGGGAGAGGGGAGAAAAGAAAAAAATACTGTATAATGCCTGTTATTTCCCACCCTCACTCTTTGTCCTTCACTGGCTTCCCAGCACACTTAGAATACTATCTGAAGTCTTAGGCTGGGCATGGTGGCTCATGCCTGTAATCCCAACACTTTGGGAGGTTGAGGGGGCAGACCACTTGAGGTCAGGAGTTTGAGACCAGCCTGGCCAACATGGTAAAACCCTGTCTCTACCAAAAAATACAAAAACTAGCCAGGCGTGGTGGTGCACACCGGTAGTCCCAGCTACTCAGGAGGCTAAGATAGGAGACTCACTTGAACCTGGGAGGCAGAGGTTACAGTGAGCCAAGATCATACCACTGCACTCCATCCTGGGCAACAGAACGAGACTTTCTCTCTAAAAAAAAAAAAAAAAAAAGAAAAAAACACCAACCTCGCTAACATGGTGAAACCCTGTCTCCTAAAAATACAAACATTAGCCAGGCGTGGTGGCAGGCACCTGTAATCCCAGCTACTCGAGAGGCTGAGGCAGAAGAATCGCTTGAATCTGGAAAGCAGAGGTTGCAGTGAGCTGAGATTGTGCGGGCGATAGAGTGAGACTCCATCTCAAATTAAAAAAATATATATCTATATCTATGTCTATCTATCTATCTATATGATAGAAAAACTTAAATCAATTAGACTGCTTTAGGTATACCCCACCCTTAGTGTAGCATCTAGCTTGGGAAACCCTGGATTTCTGGAATCATATTTATACAGGTATACTAGACTAATGTGATTCTTTTGGGATGCAAACCACACATTTGACACCTTAATTAGCTTTTAGGTATTTGGCTTCCCAGTTCCTATTTTCAGTTACAAGGGGTATACATGTGTGGGTCAGGGTGGGGGTAGCTCTTTCCACAGACGATGCATTTTAGCCATGTTACTAGTTATTGCACACATTATCTGTGTTCTCACAACAGCCCTGTGAGTAAGTGTATTAGGGTTCTCCAGAGGGATAGAACTAATAGGTAGATATATATGAAGGGGAATGTATTAGGAATATTGACTCACATGATCATAAGGTGAAGTTCCACAATAGGCTGTCTGCAAGCTGAAGAGCCAGGAAGCCAGTCCAAGTCCCAAAACCTCAACAGTAGGAAACTGACAGTGCAGCGTTCAATCCGTGGCCAAAGGCCCAAGAATCCCTGGCACGTCACTGGTTTAAGTCCAAGAGTTCAAAAGATGAAGAATTTGGAGTCTGATGTTTGAGGGCCGGAAGCATCCAGCACAGGAGAAAGATGAAGGCTCAGCAAGTCTAGTCCTTCCATGCTCTTCTTTCTGCCTGCTTTATTGTAGCCATGCTGGCAGCTGATTAGATGGTGATCACCCAGATCGAGGGTGGGTCTGCCTCTCCTAGTTCACTGACTCAAATGTTAATATCCTTTGGCAACACCCTCACAGACACACCTAGGAACAATAATTTGTATCCTTCAATCCAGTCAAGTTGGTACGCAATATTAAACATCTCAGGAAGGTACCAGTATCATATGTTTAGGAGTAGAAACCGGCCGGGCACGGTGGCTCACACCTATAATCCCAGCACTTTGGGAGGCCGAGGCAGGTGGATCACGAGGTCAAGAGATCGAGACCATCCTAGTCAACAAGATGAAACCCCGTCTCTACTAAAAATACAAAAATTAGCTGGGCATGGTGGTATGCGCCTGTAGTCCCAGCTACTCGGGAGGCTGAGGCAGGAGAATTGCTTGAACCCAGGAGGCGGAGGTTGCGGTGAGCCGAGATTGTGCCATTGCACTCCAGTCTGGGTAACAAGAGCGAAACTCCGTCTCAAAAAAAAAAAGAAAAGAGTAGAAACCAAGATTAATGGGTAAAGTAAACCAAGACAAATGCAACTAGGAGGTGGGAGAACTGGGATCAAATGCAGGCAGTCTGATTCTAAATCCCTTGCTCTTACCCATTCCTTTATTATCTCTCTCATACCAGTTAGTGCATAGCCTTATATACTTCTCACAGTCACTTGATAAGATGGCTATTCCAGCCACACAGTGGAGAAAGTGAGGCTCAGAGACTTTAGGTAACTTATCCTAGATGACTTTACTAGTAAGTATGAGAATCATTATTTGAATCAAGATCTTTCTGAATCCTCAGCTGATATTTTTCTTTTTTTTTTTTTGAGATGGAGTTTTGCTCTTTTTGCCCAGGCTGGAGTGCAATGGCGTGATCTCGACTCACCGCAACCTCCACCTCCCAGTTCAAGTGATTCTCCTGCCTCAGCCTCCCAAGTAACTGGGATTACAGGCATGTGCCACCACACCCAGCTAATTTTGTATTTTCAGTAGAGACGGTTTCACCATGTTGGTCAGGTTGGTCTCAAACTCCTGACCTAAGGCTATCCACCCGTGTGGCCTCCCAAAGTGCGGGGATTACAGGCGCAAGCCACTGCTCCTGGCCCTCAGCTTGTATTTTTTTTTTTCCCAGTATACTGTGCTGCCTCTTTACCAGCATTTTACATCAATTTTGAATCTTTTTCTAGCTGTTTAGGTTGACTTTTGCCCCTCCCTTTTTTTCTTTTTAGGTTATTCTATATTTGTTGTTAAGGGTGATCTGCCAGATTGTGAAGCTGACCAACTTCTACAGATGATTAGGGTCCAACAGATGCATCGACCAAAACTTATTGGAGAAGAATTAGCACAACTAAAAGAGCAAAGGTAAAAATAAAGCCTGCAGTATGGAATATGTGATAGTATTTCATTACAAGAATTAAATTTTCATGCTTACATTGAAATATGTGGTTCTTGTATTGTTGGTGACTCTATTTTAGACCCTATATTTTAGCGAAGTTTATTAGTTTAAACTTGAGTCAACTCTTTTAAATACTTAAATATATTAACTTAGCCAGGTATGGTGTATTCCTAGCACTTTGGGAGGCCAAGCCGGGCTGATTGCTTCAACCCAGGAGTTCGAGTCCAGCCTGGCAACGTGGCAAAACCTCATGTCTACGAATAGTACAAAAATTAGCCAGATGTAGTAGTGTATGTCTGTAATCCCAGCTACTTGGGAGGCTGGGGTGAAATGATCACTTCAGCCTGGGGAGATCAAGGCTACAGTGAGCCATAATCACACCACTGCACTTCAGCCTGGGCAAGAGAGTCAGACCCTGTCTCAAAAAAAAAAAAAAGGAAAGAAATGGAAAAAACACTTAGTTGGATTCAAATTACAACACAATCATATTGCTAAATGAGCTTATTTTCCAGAAAACATTTTAAATTTTGACTTACATAAAACCTTTACATTACAAATGCCTTTGTGTTCTGTCTAAAATAGAAGACTGGTTGCAGTTAATACCAGTGCTTTTGTTCTTTAGAGTCCATAAAACAGACCTGGAACGAGTGTTAGAAGCAAATGATGGCTCAGGAATGTTAGATGAAGATGAGGAGGATTTGCAGAGGGCTCTGGCACTAAGCCGCCAAGAAATTGACATGGAAGATGAGGAAGCAGATCTCCGCAGGGCTATTCAGCTAAGTATGCAAGGTAAAGACATTCTGATGTGTGCTTTATTCATTGCTGAAGAATCCATTTCAATTATTCTTAGGATTCCTTGAAGTTAATGTACTCTTAGAAGTTTTTTGACAATTACTGCAGAAGCAATAGCTGTATAGTGGGCTTTTCCTCTAGATTTCTTGTAATGGAAATCACTTTTTACAACCTATATTATATTAGGAGTAGTTATATTTTTACTTCTGGTTATTTTATTTTGTTTCAATACTCTACTAACACAATAGTAAACTGAGGTTAATCTTTGTGGGTTTGATCCTTACCCAAACCAGCTGTTTCATGAATGTATGCCATTAGACACTATAGAAGGGCCTGGACAGGTAATATAAACTGATTTTACAAAAATCCAACATTTATTGGCTATGTAATTTAAAGCTTAAACCCACTTTGGTGGGCCTAGTTTTTTAGTGATATAAACCATCAATAGGGAAAAGCGAAGACATCTCCCCTAGACAATCTAGGCAAAGAAAAATGTTAAGGCATAGCTCCAAGTAGCTTAATTAAAAGTTTAAAGTGGGTAGTTTTATTTTTCTCTAACTCATATGTATTTGCTTCTACTTTCTAATGAAATTATTTATCAATTGATTTCCTTAGATATCTAAATAAAATTGAGATTTCATTAATAGGAAGATTATTTTTATTCTGAATGTTTCCTGCTTCTAGGCATGCCTCTGAGTACTCCATATGGTGTGCAATCCCATTTTTGATTAATAGAACCCTGCTGGATTAGCAGGGAGAGAAACCAGATTTTTGAGATGGAGTCTCACTGTTGCCCAGCCTGGAGTACAGCAGCACGATTTTGGCTCACTGCAACCTCCGCCTCCCAGGTTCAAGCAATTCTCCTGAGTAGCTGGGACTACAGGTGCCTGCCATTATGCCTAGCTAAGTTTTTGTATTTTTAGTAGATACAGGGTTTCAACCTGTTGGCCAGGCTGTTCTTGAACTCCTGAGCTCAGGTGATCCACAACCTTGGCCTCCCAAAGTGCGGGGATTATGTGTGTGAGCCACCATGCCCAGCCAGAATAGAATATTCTTAAACGTTTTAAAAGCTATTCAAATGAGTATAAACAAACTTATTGTTACTTGAATTGGTAAATACAGTGATTGGTTTTTGTTCTGTTGTGTTTTGTTTTCAGGTAGTTCCAGAAATATATCTCAAGATATTCCACAGACAACAGGTACAAATCTTACTTCAGAAGAGCTTCGGAAGAGACGAGAAGCCTACTTTGAAAAGTAAAGTAGTTGGTACAAATTAAAATAATGTGTTTAATATTTGCTTTGGCTAATTTGTCTATTTGTAAATGATTACTGCCTGAATCCTGTTTTGGTTTTTTTTTTTTTTTTTTGGACATGGAGTTTTTGCTTCTGTCACCCAGGCTGGAGTGCAATGGTGCAATCTCAGCTCAATACAGCCTCTACCTCCCGAGTTCAAGTGATTCTCCTGCCTCAGCCTCCCAAGTAGCTGGGATTACTGCATGCCCGGCTAATTTTGTATTCTTTTTTTTAGTAGAGTCAGGGTGTCTCCATGTTGGTAAGGCTAGTCTCGAACTCCTGACCTCAGGTGATCTGCCCACCTCCACCTCCTAAAGTGCTGGGATTACAGGCATCAGTTACCATGCCCAGCCATTTGAATGTATTTTTTAAAACTTTCCAGCAAATAATGTATGAAACAAACTGTAGTTTTAAAGAAAAACTTTGCCCCAATACTGGATAAATTACCTGAAATTGCTGGGCATGGTGGCTCGCACTTTGGGAGGCCGAGGTGGGTGGATCACCTGAGGTCAAGAGTTTGGGACAAGCCTGGCCAGCATGGTGAAACTCCATCTCTACTGTAAATCTGAAAATTAGCCAGACATGGTGGCATGTGCCTGTAATCCCAGCTATTTGGGAGGCTGAGGCAGGAGAATCACTTGAACCCAAGGGGGCAGAGGTTGCAGTGAGCCGAGATTGCACCACTTCACACCAGCCTGGGCAAAAGAGCAAAACTCTATCTCAAAAAGAAAAAAGAAACAAACAAAAAAAACAAAAACCTGAAATTGAGTGAAGAAAACCTTGTAAATTTTCATTTATTAAAGGAAAAATTGAATTAGGATAAGGCAAGAAGCTATTGATCCTTTGGATGTGCTTCTTGCTTACCTCATGAACTCTACAAGATTCCTATACCAATCAGTGAGAAAAACAGCTTGTGAGGTATGGAAGCACATTCCCAAATAGAGGTGGTAGGTCATTTAGCTGCTCATGGATGCTTCAGGGGGTCCTGCAATTCTGTTAGCATCAGGGGGATGGATGCAAACCATAAATCTGGGTCAACTTCTAAAACCTTACCTGTAGCCAGCCTTGTAAGGGCTTGCTAAATAGAAATTTCACCATATGAAAATCCCTTCTTTTCAAGTAACTAGCATTCAGACTTTTGTCTCCTGCCTTTTTTTTTTTTTAAAGAAAAATAAAACTCCATGTTAAAGATTGCAAGATAAATAATCAGCTGCGTGCAGTGGCTTATGCCTGTAATCTCAGCACTTTGGAAGGCCGAGGTGGGCGGATCACAAGGTCAGGAGTGTGAGACCAGCCTGACCAACATGGTGAAACCTTGTCTCTACTAAAAATACCAAAAAACTTAGCTGGGCATGGTGGCGCACACTTGTAATCCCAGCTACTTAAGAGGCTGAGGCAGGAGAATCGCTTGAACTCAGGAGGCAGAGGTTGCAGTAAGCCGGGATGCACCCCGCTGCACTCCAACCTGGGCAACAGAGCAAGACTCCATCTCAAAAAAAAAAAAAAAAAAGAAAAATCTTGCCTTAGAGTCATCTCCTTCCCAATGCCACTTCAGTTCCACACTTCATTTTGCACAGGTGCTATATTTCCTATGATACTTGTAATGGTTGCTGCAGAGTTTAAAATGAGGAAATTGAGGCCAGTATAAGAACAATCAGATGCCAATTTATTTATCTCCCGGGCGAGGTTCTGTGGTCCTAAGGAAAGGGGGCCAGAGAAGTCACACTTAACTTCTCAGGGCAGGGGGTTTTATGGGGGTTAGAGCGGGGCTGGCCTAGGATGCATGGGGTGTGCTGCCATTGGGTAAGGCTTGGCGGGACTTCTTCAATTTTCACGGGTTCAGCTGTATAGTTTTAGTGCTGAGGTTCAAAATGCATAGCTTGGTGCTGAGAGTGCATAGTCTAGTCCTGAATATAGACCTGGGGGCAGAATGCAGAAGTGAGCAAGGGGATCCTGCATGGAGGAGCCAGATACTGAGTAATGTGTTCTGCCTGATAAACTGTTATCAGGCATAGAGAGGGGTGGGTGTTGTTCATCCGGCTCTTAGCAAGGCTATTGGCCTTACAATACTGTGATAAGTCATCAGTGCATTAGGATGCGTGATGCCCAGGCTGGAGTGCAGTGGCACAATCTCTGCTTTCTGCAACCTCTGCCTCTTGGGTTCAAGTGATTCTCCCACTTTAGCCTCCCAAGTAGCTGAGATTATAGGCACACACTACCATGCCTGGCTAATTCTTTTTTTTAACTTGGAGTCTAGCTCTGTCACTCAGGCTGGAGCAGTAATTTAAATGTAAATTATTGTATCATAGAAAGATAAGAGGAGTTTTTTTTTAATTTTAAAATAAAATATTTTAAAAATCAGACCCGCTGATCCTAGGTCAGAAAACAAAAGGCTCATAGCTGAATCTGAGCTATTATCTGCTGTATTTCATACATTCTAACATACACATATTTACACATTTCAACATCTCTGAAATTAAGCAGCATCTTACATTGTTATTGACTGTATTTTAGCAGCATCTAAAAATATTGGAGCATTTTACATTTGATGGTATAATGAAGAAAATATTTACCTTTTGTTTTATTTAAGTCACAGCTCAGAAGTAAATGAAGGAAAATTCTGATCAGCTGACATCTTCCTAATGTGAGATATTTCTAGTCTTTATTCAGCATAGATTACTGGCTAATTATATGTTAAATTTCAAAGCAGTGTTTATTAGTGCTTTTTACCTTTAAGTTTCAAAAGTAACTTTTTTGTTTTAATAAACTCCAAATTTATACAAAAGTAGAAAAACTAGCAAAATGAACTTGTGTTTATCACCCAGATTTCCCAAATACTAGCACATGGTCAGTCTCGCTGCCTTTTTTTTTTTTTTTTTTTTTTTTTGTGACAGAGTCTTGCTCTGTTGCCCAGGCTGGAGTGCAGTGGCACAATCTCTGCTTACTGCAACCTCTGCCTCTTGGGTTCAAGTGATTCTCCCACTTTAGCCTCCCAAGTAGCTGAGATTATAGGCACACACTACCATGCCTGGCTAATTCTTTTTTTTTTTTTTTTTTTACTTGGAGTCTAGCTCTGTCACTCAGGCTGGAGCAGTAAGTAGTGTGATCTCAGCTCACTACAACCTCAGCCTCCCAAATAGCTGGGACTACAGGTACATGCCACCATACCCGGCTAATTATTTGTATTTTTATTAGAGACGAGGTTTCACCATGTTAGCCAGGATGGTCTCCATCTCCTGACCAAGATCCACCTGCCGTGGCTTCCGAAGTGCTGGGACTACAGGAGTGAGCCACCACGCCTGGCCTAATTCTTATACTTGTAGTGGCGCCAGGGTTCCACCATGTTGCCCAGGCTGGTCTTGAACTCCTGACCTCAAGTGATCCACCCCCTTGGCCTCCTAAAGTGTTGGGCCACTGCACCTGGCCCAGTCTTGTTTTTTAATACTCCCATCTTCCATCTTTCCGTTGGCCCACCTACAAGTTTGGATTATTGTGTAACAAATCTCAATTATATCATTTGTCTGTAACCATTTTAATGTGTCTCTAAAATATATGAGCCTTTTTAAAACATAGCTAAATGCTGTTGTCATAAAATAGTAATCATAATGATTAATTGTAATTCTGAATCATCAATTATCTAGTTAATGTAAAAAATAAATCTACTTAATTAGAAAGACTAACATTCTAGAAAGTTTATTTTAAGAAATATCAAAATTAAAAGAAAGCCTATATGGCTAGTTGTAGTGGCTCATGCCTGTAATCCCAGCCTGTAATTCGCTGGCTAAGGCAGGCAAATCACTTGAGGCCATGAGTTCAAGACCAGCCTGCCCAACATGGCAAAAGCCTGTCTCTACTAAAAATACAAAAAAATTAACAGCTGGGTGTGGTGGCACACACCTGTAATTCCAGCTACTTTGGAGGCCGAGATAGGAGAATTGCTTGAACCCAGAGGTGGAGGTTGCAGTAAGCCATGATTGCACCACTGCACTCTATCCTGGGTGACAGAAAAAGACTGTCTCAAAAAAAGAAAGAAAAAGAAAGCATACTCTCACCTCCTTCAGTAACTGATGTTAGTATTTTGGCACATTCTCTTTCTGTGACACATAGACACTTGCCTTGTAAATATTGTACCCATTTCCCATAACAGTAAATAGTCTTTGTAGCAGGTTGCATGATATTTCATAAAATGAATGGATGTGGCATAATTTATATATGAGCTTTTTGAATTCTGCTGTTACAATATTGCAATGAACAATTCTTTTTTTTTTTTTGAGATGGAGTTTCGCTGTTGTTACCCAGACTGGAGTGCAATGGCATGATCTCGACTCACCGCAACCTCCGCCTTCTGGGTTCAAGCAATTCTCCTGCCTCAGCCTTCCAAGTAGCTGGGACTATAGGCACGCACCACCATGCCCAGCTAATTTTTGTATTTTTAGTAGAGATGGGGTTTTATCTTGTTGATCAGGATGGTCTCGATCTCTTTACCTCGTGATCCACCCACCTCGGCCTCCCAAAGTGCTGGGATTATAGGTGTGAGCCACCACGCCCGGCCTAATGAACAATTCTTATACTGCCTCTATGCCTTAAATCTCTCATCATTTCTTCTAATTTTTCTGAGGATGTCAGATTATTGGGTTAAAGGATATGAACATTTTTTAGGCCTTGGTACAGATTTCTAAATTGCTTTACAGAATAATTCCCATGTGATACTTCCATCATGTTTATTTCAGACTTTTTTGTTTTTGCCAAACTATAATGGTCTAAAGACATACTTCACAGAGAAACTATGATACAAACTTTACAGGTATATCTAAGAAAAGTATATTTAAAGTATAATAATAAACCCCTTTTTTACTTAAATTTTTTAAATTGGATTAAAAATATGAAACTTCCAACAAATTGAACTTTTTAGAATATTAAAGATAATTGGGTAATACCCAGTAATGACTAAGTAAGTTATA